TTGCTTCCCCCCATCCCCTCCCCTGCTTCCCCCCATCCCCTTCCCTGCTTTTCCCCACCCCCTCCCCTGCTTTTCCCCACCCCCTCCCTTGCTTCCCCCCATCTTCTCCCCTGCTTCCCCCCATCCATTTCCCTGCTTCCCCTCATCCCCTTCCCTGCTTCCCCCCATCACCTTTCCTGCTTCCCCCCATCCCGTTTCCTGCTTACCCCTCATCCCCTTTCCTGCTTCCCCCCATCCCCTTTCCTGCTTCCCCCCATCCCCTTTCCTGCTTCCCCCCATCCCCTTCCCTGCTTCCCCCCATTCCCTTCCCTGCTTCCCCCCATCCCCTGGCACCCGCACTCGCACTCTCCTTCCGCCCGCACTATCTGTCTCCGTCCTCTCGCACTCGCACTCTCCTTCCCACCACCCTCAGCCCTCCTTTCCCCCACCCTCAGCCATGTTCCCACCTGCCCTCCCCATCCCTGCCTTTCCCTCCCTGCCCTGCACTTCCCTTCCCCATCCCTTCTCAACCATTCCCTTCCCTTTCATACCCTCCCCTTCCCCCTCACTCCTCACCTTCATTTCTTCCTGCCACTTTTCTCCCTTGCACAATCAGTGTTTTCGTCGTCATGGTTGGTCGCACAAAGTACAATACACTCACGCGCGGACGTGATCCAAACCTTCCCTTGAGGTGTGGTTCAGGCCTCAAAATTCTGCACCTTCGCCCATATATTTCCCCCGCTCGTCAAAGAAACTCGTCACTCGTAAACCAATCAGGATCTGTCTTTCCCAACCAAGTGTTAAACACTAGTAAGTATGAGACGCGAGCTTTAAAGCTGCGGACTACATACTTGGAGTGGGGAGGGAAAGGTTATCACTTGAAAACACTGTAACTTTGTGGCTGCGGGGAACCCTGCGGAGAAACCAACAATCGAGGCGGAAGGGTTGGGTGGGTCACGGGGTTTAGGTTATCACTTGAGCCACTCCAAATCAGTTTGTACAGTCGATGCTCAGCCTATCACAAAACATTTGCTTCTGACAATCAGACATTTAGTCACTCGTGAACGTTTTGCGTGAGTGACTAAATTGACCATTGTGCCGATTTCGGGGTACAGTCACCAAGTTGAGGAAGAAAAACATCTACAGTTCATAAACAGCAACGGTTGCCCGTCATTTGAAAAGTTTACCTGGTTACGAAATTAAAACCATTGACTCAATTCACGATGCAATTTCATATTACAGTCACATCTTTGCCCGTGGCGACAAGGGCGAAAGTGGCGAAATGCCCGAAACACGTTTCACGCACATGCTGCCCGCCTACCTGGTGTTCTTGAAATGAGCACCGTTTGTAGACCAAAACTGAAGCGAGTCATGTGAGCTTGACAGCCAGCATGTCCTTCACGTAGACTAGAATTCATAGAGAATAGCAGTCATACATAACCAGCGACGCCCAACCCTCCCACTACGTAATAGCGACACCGTCCGCTCAAGTTTCTAACCATCGTCACCCCTTTCCGCTCCGCACTCTCAGCCGCATTTCCCCAACGCGATCCGTCGGCTAGTGCTCTGCGCTCGTCGCCGCGTTATGCTTGCGGAATCGACAGGCTTCGGAACCCTCGTTCTCCCCGCTTTCATCGTCGCCGCGTTCTGCCTCATTCAGGGGTTGTGCTCTCGCGAGGTCGCCGAGCAGCTCGATATCGCCGAGCTCGTCGCCAGCTTGCATCAAGGCGGTCAGCTCGTAGTTTCGCGCCACCCCTTTATCCGCCTCTTTCCAATCCCCGCCTAGTGACGACCGGACGACTTGCATTCGTCCTGAGAACGGGAGGAATTCACCGGTGTGAGAAAAGCTCAGCGCCCCGCGTTCATGTTTGAGCTGAAATATCCCGCTTGCCGAACGCCGCTTAGTGCTAATCTCACTCATATCCCGAATTCCAGGCGCCGCTTACATCGTACGGCCACCATAACCCCCCAGCGGCGAACTGATTTCAGCACAGCGGCTTCCCTTCCCTCTTTCCGCACGTCGCTTTTATGCTAGCGCATTAATATCCCGCTTTCCGCCTACATCGGTCAGCCTAGAACGTAAAAATCCCCTCCAACCGCGCATTGCTTTCACTCCCCTCTAATATCTCCGCCTTTCTCCCTTCTCTCCCCTCTCACATCTCTGCCTTGCTCCGTTCTATCCCCACTCGCCGCTCCGTCTTGCTCCCTTCTCTCGCCTCCCATATCTCCGCCTCGCTCCTTTCTCTCCCCTCTCGTATCTCTGCTTGCTCCTTTCTCTCCCCTCTGATATCTCCGCCTTGCTCCCTTCTATCGATTCTCATAACTCCGCCTTGCTCCCCTCTCTCGCCTCTCATATCTCCTCCTTGCGCCCTTCTCTCCACTGTCATTTCCGCTTTGCTCCTTTCTCTCCCCTCCCATATCCGCCTTGCTGCCTTCTATCCCCTCGCGTCATGCGCCTTGCTCCCAACTCTTCTTACCTGTACCCTGTCCCCATACATAAATCCGTTGCTCCCTTCTCTACCCTCTCCCCTCACTGCCTTACTCCCCTCTCTACCCCATGCATAGCTCTGGCACGAGGGAATAGCAAGCGAGCAGAGGTGGGATAGCAAGCGAGGAGGCGGGATAAAGGCATGCGAGCAGGGGCGAGGGAATAGCAAGCGAGCAGATGTGGAATAGCAAGCGAGGAGGCGCGGGGGAATAACAAGCGAGCAGAAATGGGAGAATGGCATGCGAGCAGGCGCGGGGGAATAGCATACCCCCCCCTTTCCCTCTTCCGTATTCCATGATACCATATCCGCCTTGCTCCCTTTTATCCTATCCCAAATCCGCCTTGCTCCCTTTTATCCTCTCCCATATCCCCTTCACTCCCCTCTTGTCTCTCCGCCTTGCTCCCTTCACTCCCCTCTTGTCTCTCCGCCTTGCTCCCTTCACTCCCCTCTTGTCTCTCCGCCTTGCTCCCTTCACTCCCCTCTTGTCTCTCCGCCTTGCTCCCTTCACTCCCCTCTTGTCTCTCCGCCTTGCTCCCTTCACTCCCCTCTTGTCTCTCCGCCTTGCTCCCTTCACTCCCCTCTTGTCTCTCCGCCTCTCGTATCTCTCCCTTGCTCCCTCCCACCCCCTCTCGTAGCGGTGCCTTGCTCCCTTCAACCCCCTCTCGTCTCCCTGCATTTGCGAGCAGGCGCGGGGGGATATGAAGCGAGCTGAGGCGGGAGAAAGGCATGCGAGCCGGCGCAGGGTTTAGCAAGCTAGTCTCTGCGGGAGAAAGGGCGGCGAGCAGGCGCGGGGAAATAAAAAGCGAGCAGAGGCGGGAGAAAGGCATGCGAGCAGGCGCGGGGAAATAGCAAACGAGCAGGGGTGGGGGGATAGCAAGCGAGCAGAGGCGGGAGAAAGGCATGCGAGCAGGATAACGCTGTCCACCGCTGTCCAGGATTGAGTAGCGTAAAAAACGTGAAGGGTGCAGCGAGGAGGCGATAACGTGAAGGTGATAGGGGGATGGGAGCGAGAATGTGCGAGGGGTAGCAGCGATCCGCGAGGGAGGTCAACAGACGGAAGGCGGGGGTAGATTAGCTGCAAGAGACGCAAGGAATGGATGGGGCTGTGTGGGGGATAAGCAGTGAGAAGGGGGTGGAGGAGGGGGGGGCGGTTAGGAGTGGGGGGAGGGAATAATCAGCGAGAAAAAGGGGAGGAGAAGGGCTGTGTGGTGGGCATTCTCCTGTGTGCACTCTCTCCCTTACTCCCACCTCCGCCCTCTCGCCTCTCCCTTACTCCCACCTCTTTCCCCTCTCTCGTTGCTCCCATCTCTTTCCCCCCTCTCCCTTACTCCCACCTCTGCCTTTTCCCGTCTCTCCCTTACTCAAAATTCTTTCCCGTTTCTCCCTTACCCATGCTTACCTTTGTTTCCTTCCTGCTCGAACTGTGGTTTTCCCTGATTACCCTGTGTTTCCCCCCAGCTTACCTTTTGTTTCCCGGCTGCCAACACTCTGTTGTTACTTCCCCCCTTGTTCCATTGTTTCCTGTCCTCTAAGAGCGTGTTCCTACACCTCGTATCAGAAACACCTCGTATCAGCTTCGCGCGGTGAAATACGTTACAGTACGTTCGGCTGCGTTAGAATGCGTTTCAGTGCGGTTCGACGCGAATCTGATACGAGGTTACCTGATACGAGGCCGTAGGAACACGCTCTAAAACCCTCAGATTCTCCATAAGGCATCTGTCACTCTATTACTCCTGTTGTTGTGCACTAGCTCTCCCCTTCCTTGCCCCTAATTTCTTACAATCTGTTTCTGCTCCCCCTGGCTTCTCCTTCCCCCCTTCACTGTCCCTTCTGTGGTGCAGCTCGTCGATTATGAAGCAATGAACAAGACAAGCGAGGTAATAGCTACATTTAGGATAGTGTGGACAGATGCCATATCCAAACATCAAGTACATCAAGTTTCACAAACAAGAATTCTGTACATCCAGAAGGGACGGGCGTTGGCAAAGGTTCTTTACATCCTAGTGATGGCATTGGTGACATTTGGTTATAATGTGAAGGTCTCTTTTACGGAACACCGCTTCTTGAAGAGAGCAGGACACAGCTTTGCCCTGCACATAGTAATCCGCAGTAAGGATGGGGGAAGGGAGGGGAGATGGGAAAGGACAGGGCATGAGGAAGGGATGAGAGATGGGAGCATGGGAGGAGAAGAGACGTGGACGGAAAGGAAGGTAAGGGAAGGGAATGGAAGGGAGGTGAGGGAAAGGTATTAGAAGGGAAAGGAAAGGAGACGATGGGGAGGGAAGTGCAGGGAGGAGGAGGGGAGGGACGGGAAAGAAAGGTAAGGGAAGGGGAAAGAAAGGAATCTGAGGGGAATGACTGCAAAGGTATGGATAGTGGTTTGGAGGTATGAGGAGGAATACGAGGGTTCGTGCGAAAGCAGTTGAGTACGAGATGCACTTCCCTCCCGTTACCCGCACCCGCCACGCCTCTGCCTCTGGCACCCACGCTGCTGTCACGCGGCTTGTGAATGTGCATATCTTGCGCGCGTCGTCAAACGCGCAGCTGGCGGTCACGCGCGCCTGCAGGCGCAGGAGGCAAAAGGGCGGTTGGCGAACGCAGGCGAAGCGAGCAGCAGCCACGCGCACTGGGAAATGGGGGAGCAGGGGAGGAAATGAGTGAAAGGAGGGATGGGAATGAGGGGTTGGAGGGGGGAAATGGGGGGAGGAAAGGGGAATTTTCCGGAGAGAGGGGGGAGAGGGAAGGGAGGAGATAGAACGAGGGGAGTGAGGGTGTGAGGGTGATAAGAAGGAAGGTGGTGAGGGATGGGAGGAGATAGGAGGAGGAGGATGAGAGTTGTTGGGAGATGGGAAGAGAGTAGGGAGGGAAAAGGGGGAGCCGAAGGAAGGGATAGGAAGCAGTGGGGAGAGGGAAATGAGGAGGTAGGAAGACGGGTGAGAGGGAATGTTGGAAATCTCCCGAGAGAGGGGTTGGGGGGGCCAGGGGGGGGAGAGGTGGACGGGGGAGAGAGGAGGACGGGGAAGAGAGGAGGACAGGGGGAAAGAGGAGGAGGATGAGAGGAGGAGATACACGGTCTGCTAGAGGTTGCTCACCCTGAGGCTCATGGGGTTGACGCCAGGGGAGTGGACAGGCCGGGAGGAGGATGACAGGGGGGTGAGAGGAGGACAGCGGGGACGGAGGAGGACTTGGGGGGGAGAGAGAAGGACAGGGGGGAGAGAGAAGGACAGGGCGGAGAGAGGATGACGGGGATTGGAGGGATGAGGAGGAATGCGCGGGTTCGTGTGAGCGCAGTTGAGTGCAAGATGCACTTCCCTTGCTAAACCCGCACTCACTACGCCTCTGCCCCTCGCACCCCCGCATTCTGCCACGGAACTAATGCAGACTCAATCACCACGCCCGCACTCGCCACTACCGGAGGGCGGAGAGGAAAGGTTCGGAGGGATGAGGAAAGGCGCTGGCGCATGAATGGCCGCATCTCGCGCATCTCGTCAAACGCGCAGCTGGCGGTTCCGTGGCGGTCACGAGGCTGCAGACGCGGGTGGCGGAAGGGGGAAGGGGGGAAATGTAGACAAAGTTGTGGGGAAATGGGGTAGAGAACGGTGAAATGGGGGGAAGGAGGGGGAGCCGTGAGGGAAAGCTGGGGTTGAGGGAAGGGAGGAGATAGAATGAGCTGAGAGAGGAGGGACGGGAGGAGATAGGAGGAGGAGGTGCGACCTGGGGGAACAGGGAGGTGCGTCCTGGGGGAAAGGGAGGTGCGACCTGGGGGGGAAAGGACATGCGACCTGGGGGGGAAGTGAGGTGCGACCTGGGGGAAAGGGACTCGCGACCTGGGGGGAAGGGACTCGCGACCTAAGGTGGCGAGGACGCCGTGACAAAGGCGACGCGACTCGCAGGCGATGACGCTGCGCTGGGAATCCGCTGGGCATCCTATGTTCACTCCGCACCCCGTATGGCTTCATGAGTGTGGATCGCCGCATAAGGCTATCGGACGTGCGATAACTACTGTCTAACTAACAACGCGGCAGAGAAAACAGTGGCGTGGTTCCGTCACTCCCCAATGGGTTTGCCACAGGAGTGGCCGCTACCCTGTACTCTCCTAGCAACGATCGCGGCTGCGAGTGTGGTGGCGTGGGAAAGGCGATACGACAGTTGCACATGGCGAGAATTGCGACTGTGTGGTGGGGTGGCGTGAAACAGGCGCTACGGGTGACGCTAGCGGGAATCGCGGCTCTTAGCGTGGCGTCGCGAAACAGACGTAGCGTGCGGGATTCGCGGCTTAGCGTGGTGGCTTGAAGAAGACGATACGGTACGCGCACCCGGCCAGAATCGTTAATGTTTGAGCGGGGTGGCGTGAATTAGACGTTACGCTACACGCTGCTAGAAGGAATCGCGGCTATCAGCGTGGCTGCGTGAAAAAAACACTACACTACGCACTCCCCGCGTATTTCGCGACAGTTTATCACTTGGTGGCGTGGTGCACTCTGATGCCCTGCCTGCAGCCAGCGGGGATTTGCAGCCTAGAGTGGTGAGGTGAAGTTGCACGTTTGGGAGTTATGGTTATCAGGGCAAGCATTTTCTTCCCCGCTTGGTTGTTTTGTGTTGGGCGCAGGGTCTTCCACGATTCCTCGGATTACTTCCCCCAAGCAAACCAGCTTACGAAACTGTTTGTCGTCGCCAGCGGTGTTTGAATTCCTCGCACAGGTGTTTGTGGAAGAAGCTCACTTCGCTCTCGAATCATGTTGGGCCAAAGGGTGTGCACTTAGATGACCCTCCGAAAATACCTTTTAGAATGTAGACCGCAGCTTTAACGAATGAGGACTTGCTTCAGAGCGTGGTCACTGAAATACGTCTATGCCTGGGGATTGAAGTTGTCTCACTAAGGCTGTGAGGAGAAGCCACACGGTTGGTCAGCGAAAAACACCCACCGTTAAGGCCCGAGTACAGCATGGTATTTTTCATGTTCAAGACTCTTGAACTTGAAGTCGCTCAAAACAGGGTTACCCTCTTTGGTTTGAAACACAACTCGCGAGGCTGGGAAAAGCTCTTGCGACGGTTGATCCTGATTGGTTTCTGAGCCCAGTCGCACAACCCATCCGACCATCGCCCACTCGGTTGCCCCGATTTCCTCTCACATATCTTGAAAACCAACTTCAGTACTCCTAGTTCACTAGGAGACTCACGTAACTAGTGAACGCGCTGCAGGGCAATAAAGGATAGCTTAGGTAGAGGCGTTTTTTGTTGAACAACACTACTTGCACACGCAGTCTTGCCAATAGCTGAGCAGCAGGTCATGCGTTCCGTACCATTTTCGTTGGCCCGACACGGAACGTCCGTACTAGCGCTCGACACGCAAATGTACGTCAATGGCATGAGTTGCTACACTTGCCCATTATAAAAATGCGTGGTGGGCGGGTTAAACATGTTAGATTCGCTGTCGAGCGTTGCGCACACTTCTTTACGTCGCCCCCACTTGCTCGGGTCACGCTATCTTCCAGTAGTCACCCGCGCTTCCCTTCGTCGCCCCCGCTCCCCACCGTCCCGCGCTTCCCAACGTCGCCCACGCTGCCCCTCGTCACACCCGCTTCCTTACTCACCACTCGCTTCCTCTCGTCGAGTGTTCTAGAAAGCGACCCACAGCGTCGGAAAGTGCAACAACTCAAGCATCTCCAATCCAACCCGTCGTCGCACGCGCTTCTCCTCGACGCCCCCGCCTTTTTACTGGGCGCGCGCTTCTCATCGCCCCCGCCTCTTTATTTCGCGCGCGTTCTCCTAATCGCTCCCGCCTCTTTATTTCGTGCGTGCTTCCCCATACCCGTCATAATCCCCTCCATATAGGATTCCCCCCCAATAACCAACCTTTGTCCGCTCTCCCTCTCTTTCTCCCTCCATCTCTCCCTCTCCCCTCTCTTTTCTCTCCCTCCGTCCCTCCCTACCTTGCTCGTGACCTTTCTTCCTCTGTCCCCCTCTCCCTCTCCCTCTCTTCCCTCACCCCCTCCCTCTCTTTCTCCCTCTCCCTCCCTCTCTCTCTCACTCACTCTCTCTATCTCTCTCTCCCTCTCTCTCTCTCTCTCTCTCTCTCCCTCTCCCTCTCTCTCTCTCTCTCTCTCTCTCTCTCTCTCTCTCTCTCTCTCTCTCTCTCTCTCTCTCTCTCTCTCTCTCTCTCTCGCGCTTTCTCCTTCCTTCCCATCCTCTCTCTCGCTCCTTCCTTCCCACGGACAGAAAGGGAAGGACAAGGAAGAGAGGGGGGAGGACAGAAGGGGAGACACAGAGGGGGGAGGACAAAGGGGGAGAGACACAGGGGAAGGACGGAGGGGGAGGAACAGAGGGGGAGGGGCAGAGAGTGAGAGACAGAGGGTGAGAGGAACCCTCCGCCCTGCTTCCCCCCATCCCCCTCCCTGTTTCCCCCCATCCCCTTCCCTGCTTCCCCCATCCCCCTCCCTGTTTCCCCCCATCCCCTTCCTTGCTTGCCCCCATTCCCCTCCCTGTTTCCCCCCATCCCCTTCCCTGCTTCCCCCCATCCCCCTCCTTGTTTCCCCCCATCTCTCTCTCTCTCTCTCTCTCTCTCTCTCTCTCTCTCTCTCTCTCTCTCTCTCTCTCTCTCTCTCTCTCCTTGCACCCACACTCTCTATCTCCTTCCTCCCGCATTCTCACTCTCCTTCCTCCCACACACACTCTCTCTCAGTCCTCTTGCCCTCTCACTCTCCTTCCCCCCACCCTCAGCCATGTTCCCACCTGCCCTCCCCATCCCTGCCTTTCCCTCCCTACCCTGCCCTTCCCTTCCCCATCCCTTCTCAACCCTTCCCTTCCTTTTCATGCCCTCCCCTTCCCCCTCACTCCTCACCTTCCGCCCTCTAGTTCCCATGCATGTGCACCCATCACTGTCTCCCCATGCATGCTTTCTTCAGCGCTTGCTTGTATCCCCTTGCGGTTGTTCCCTTGCATCTCACACCACCTCCCACATGTTTCTTCACACAATTCTTTCTGCCTACTCCACTCCCCTAAATTTCAGTGGCGAGACAGAGGAGCAAGATGAGGCACAGCTAGTCGATGATTTACACCATACCACCGCCTGTTTCTTGTGTGTTGTATGCAAGCATGACATGAGAATTCTGTTGGAGATATCCATGCCAAAGGCACAATATGTACTTTTGTTTCTGCAGTGCAATATAACCGTCATATCCCGGATATACCCCCATGGGAGGCAATAATAAAGCAGGTTTTTTTAGGGGGGTGGGCTTATGATCGAGTAAATTTATAAGCGCCGGCGTTTATAAAATGACATATCTGTTTTTATATATTTTTGAACACCATGCTGTAGATCTCGTGCTTGCCTTTTCAATCGAGACGAAGTAACATGGGGTCGTCTGTGAAATTCTCGCGCGCGCAGAGAGGTACACCCAATCGGACTCACATCCAGCTCCTGACAGCTCATGACAGCTCCTGCTGACTGGACCCGAATCCAGTGCAGGGTCCGAATGTGAAGGGAGCCGAATCTGCAAAACATCCGCCTGCTAAAGTAGAAATCGTTAAAGCGTTTTGAACACATTTCAAAAAAATAAGTTTACGTGCGCTTATAATAAAACAAGTTTTTTCAGGGGGTGCGCTTATAATCGAGCAGGGGATATAAGCGCCATATGCCAATTAGAAGCGCCAGGCGCTTATCCTAGGGTGGCGCTTATATCCGGGGGGTGACGGAATCTTTTAAAATGCATAGACGCTATTGATTGTACCTTTCTCAAGGCCCTGAAAAAAACATGAGGGGAACTGGTTTCTCTACGAGCATGGCATGGGATGATGGACTGAGGCGAGTTGCAATATCAGAAAAATCTTCAATGTAGTCACTGCAATAGCGAGGAAGAGGGAGACAACACGAGGGTTTGGGAGGGGCAGCAGCGGGGGAAATGAGGGGAGGTGGGGGGAGGAATGAGGGGAAGCAGGGGGGGGAATGAGGGGAAGCAGGAGGGGAAACGAGGGGAAACAGATTGGGAAGTCCAGGGAAGCAGAGGGGGGAATTGAGGAGAAGCAGGGGTATAAATGAGGGGAAGCAGCAGGGGAAATGAGGGGAAGCAGGTACAAACAGGAAAAGCAGGGAGGGAAATGATAAGGAGCAGGGAGGGAAATGAGGGGCAGCAGCGGGGGAAATGAGGGGAGGTGGGGGGCGAAATGAGGGGAAGCAGGGGTGGAAATGAGGGGAACCAGGAGGGTACAAACAGGGAAAGTGGGGAGGGAAATGAGTGGCAGCAGCGGGGGAAATGAGGGGAAGATAAGGGGTAAAGTAAATGAGGGGAAGCAAGGGAGGAAAGGCGGGACAGAGAGGTAAGGGGGGAGTGCGGAAGAGAGGAAGGGTGCAAGTGAGGAGATTGGACGAGGGAGGGAACAAGGGGCTAGAAGGGAGGGAAGAGGGGGCTAGCATGGGAGAAGCAAGGGGCTAGGGGGGGGGGGAAACGAGGGGATAGGAGAGGGGAAGAGGAGGAGGAGATAGGAAGAGGGGGTGGAGGAGAAAAGGGGAGAGAAGGATTCCGGGGGATAGGGAAGATGGGGGAGGGAGGGGAGGAGATTGGACGAGGGAGGAGAGGGGAGGGAGGGGATTGGACGAGGGAGGAGAGGGAAGGGAGGAGAGGAACAGCGGCAAGCAGCTGGGGAAAATGAAGGAGAGGAGAGGGAGAAAGGAGGGGAAGCAGGGGGGGAAAGGAGGGGAAGCAAGAGGGGGACGGAGGGGGAGCAGGGGGGGAAAGGAGGGGAAGGAAGGGGGGAAAGGAGGGGGGGCAGGGGGGGAAAGGACGGCAAGCAAGGGGGGAAAGGAGAGGGAGCAGGGAGGGAAAAGAGGGAGCAGGGAGGGAAAGGAGGGGACGCAAGGGGGCAAAGGAGGGGAAGCAGGGAATTAAAGGAGGGGAAGCAAGGAATTAAAGGAGGGGAAGCAGGGAATTAAAGGAGGGGAAGCAGGGAATTAAAGGAGGGGAAGCAAGGGGGGAAAGGAGGGCAATCAGGGGGAGGGGAAGCAGGAGTGGAAAGGAGGGGAAGCAGGGGGAAAAAGGAGGGGAAGCAAGGGAGGAAAGGAGGCGAAGGAAGGGGGGAAAGGAGGGGAATCAGGGAATTCGCGCCTCATCTCTTTCCTCGTCATCCCCTTCCGCGCCTCATCCCCTTCCGCGCCTCATCC